TAGGCCCGCAGCAGGGACTCCTGGCCGCGGTAGGCCCGCAGCAGGGATCTTGCAGAAGTCCTGAAGCTGTCTTTGGAACCCTGGCTGATGAAACTGAACTCTATTTAAGTACTTTCTTTTTATTCTTTTGTACCGAAAGGCACTGGATTGAGGTGACAGAACATTTTTCACTGTATCTCCTTACAGATATTTGACAATAAATCATTCATTCATTTTTTCATGATGAGCAAACTGCTGGTCATGGAACCTCTCGCTTCCCAAATCAACTTAAACTTCCTCTCACCAATGTTCCCCTTCTGTTTTCAGACATCCCAGACTGTCAGCTGCCCAGCCACAGGGACCCTAGGAGGAGGAAGGGAGCAGAAGGAGTGGAGAAGCCCTGACATTTAAAGCAGCCAGTTTAGTTACAGATTCTTCACATACCTTAGTGGCAACTTTACAGTTGAGATTAGCACAAGGAAAGATGCTGGATGCACTAGCCAGCCTACCACTGTCAAGAGGCATTGAGGAGCATGATTCCAACTTCGCAAAGGACATGGCATGGATTTTCCCTCACTGTGACCTTTCCTTCATTTCCCTGTCATGGCCCAGAGGCACTGCCATTTCTGTCACATACCACTGCAGCCTTTTGAGTGGGCAGTTCCTTATTCATTTGCTCTAATTTCATGTGAGGATATGGCAACATCTCTAGCAAATGTAAGGACTCAGTAAAACACCTACCAGACTCTCCAAAATAGTTTAAAGTAGTCTGAAAGGAAAAGTTAAAAAGAATCTAACTACTGCTATGAAATTACCTCTAAACAATGTCATTCCTGGCATTAATCAGCTAGTTGGGCTGATTTAGAAGTCAGGAAAGTACTAACTGGAGAAGATACACCTCTATACAACTTATCTTTAGAAAACATCAGAGGGATATCATGTCTCACTAATCTGATTGAGTTTTTTTGAGGAGGTGAGAAAGAAGGTTGATGAAGGCAGAGCAGTAGACATAGTCTATACGGACTTCAGCAAAGTGTTCAACAAGGTTCTGCATGGTAGACTGGTTAGTAAGGTTAGATCACATGGGATCCAGGGAGTTAGCCATATGGATACAAAATTGGCTTGAAGGTAGGAGACAGAAGGTGATGGTGGAGGGTTGCTTTTCAGACTGGAGGTCTATGACTGGCGGTGGGCCACAAGGATCGGTGCTGAGTTCACTGCTTTTCTTCATTTATATGAATGATTTGGATGTGAGTATAGCAAGTATGGTCAGTAAGTTTGCAGATGGCAACAAAATAGGTGTAGTGGACAGTGAAGAAGATTATCTCAAAGTACATTGGGACCTTGATCATATGGGCTGAGGAGTAACAAATGGAATTTAATTTAGATAGATATGAGATGTCACATTTTGGTAAGGCAAACCAGGCTGGGACTTATACACTTAACAGTAGGGCCCTGGGCAGCACTGCCAAACAAAGAGGCCTTAGGGTGCAGGTGCATAGTCCGTTGAAATTGGAATCACAGGTAGACAGGGTGGTTAGGCATTTGGCAAACATGCCTTCATTGGACAGAAATTCAGCATCTCAATTCAGTTGGAATGTCGTGTTGCGGCTGTACATGACATTGGCTAGGCCACTTTTAGAATACTGTGTACAATTCTGGTTGCCCTTCTACAGGAAAGTTGTTGTTAAATTTGAGAGGCTGCAGAAAAGAGTTACAAGGATGTTGCCGGGGTTGGAGGGCTTGAGCTGTGGGGAGAGGCTGAATAGGCTGGGGCCTTTGCCCCAGGAGTGTCAGAGGCTGAGGGGTGACCTTATAGAGGTTTATAAAATCATGAGGGGCATAGATAGGGTGAATAGCCAACGTCTTTTCCCCGGGGTGGGGGAGTCCAAAACTAGAGGGCATCTGTTTAAGGTGGGAGCGGAAAAATTTAAAAAGGACCTGAGGAGTAACCTTTTCATGCAGAGAATGGTGCGTGAACGGAACGAGCTGCCAGAGAAAGATATGGAGGCTGGTACAATTACAACATTTAAGAGGCATCTGGATGGGTATATGAATATGAAGGGTTTAAAGGGATATGGGCCAAATGCTGGCAAATAGGACTAGGTCAGATTAGGATGTGTGGTTGGCATGGGCAAGTTGGACCAAAGGTTCACTTTCTGTGCTGTATGATTCTATAATGGTGCAGCCTATCTCCAGGAATGTATTCAGAGCATTTATATGTAATTTTTTTATTTTCAATGCGTGATTTTTAAAAAAAAATTATGCTCCTTCTTTGGGTTACTGTTTGCATCTTGTGTTTAACATTTTAGGATGCTGATGGTTCTACTATCTGTAACATTTGCCCTCGCTCCAACATACCCTGATCCAAAATCCTCAGTGAGTAATGTTATCCGGCTGAACTGGATATTAGGTTAAAACCTCAACCAGGAGAGATTTTAAATCAGTGCAGCAACTTTACCAGCGTTACCACCTAATGACATGATTCTAAAATGAAACTTTCCAGTTAGGCATTTTCAAACTTATCTCAGAATACAATATATTCAAATATGTTATTGTAGAAACAACTCACTTGAGTTAACCAATACGGAGTCCTAATTAAAGATTTGTAGAACACTTTTTTTATTTGTTTGATGGGATGGGTCTTTGAGGCTTTAAACACGAATCTATGATGTTTTAGTGACTTCTTCATTCCAGTTTTTTCTAAGAATTAATCCTGGGTTGCATGATAGTAATGGTTACAACAGTGGATAATTAACTTACTTAAACAGTCCAAAGATCAATGAAGACTGATGAAGTTAATCCAAATAATGATAGGATAATCAAACAGACTAGAATTGACTATGTGGTAACAAATCCCCTTCAGTATAGGATATTCAAACAGATATTTTACAAAAATCACATTTACAGTTCTGTTTAAATTCTTAGCCATTTTGTGCCTTGCCTCAGTCTTTATTAAGAAGTCCTCTTGCACAGAGATCTCAACTCTGATTTGTTTCAAATCTAAAACTTATGTCAAAGGTGGCCAATCCGATTCTAACTGACAAGAATGTATATTTGCAAGCCAACTTTAAAGAAATTTTATCACTGTCTGCCACTTAACTGTTTATTGTGAAGGGTCATTCAAGTGGGATTGTTTGGTGCACATTTTAGCTAAACAAGATTATGCAAATTTTCAGACCAATAAGAGGAATACTTTACCAGGGAGAGTGGCACCAGCAGTTTTTGAGTTAAGGAAAACCCTCCTGATCACAGCCTTTGCATTGGTCCAAATGCAGTTTTCTTTTAAAACAGATCTGTGAATGCACTTGGAGACATCCAG